GCAGGAAGCCTGCTTCTCCCTCTCCCACTCCCCCTGCTTGTGTTCCTGCTCTCGCCGTCTCTCTCTCTGTCAAATAAATAAATAAAATCTTTAAAAAAAAATGAATTTTATTTTTATCTATCTAAGAAATTTTTTCTATTCCTACCGAGAATGCAGATAGACATTCTTTTTAAATGTTTTAATAGTGTTGTTGAGGTGTGATTGATATACACATTTAAAAAACTGCACATATTTAATGTATACAATTTGATGAGTTTGAACATATGAATACACCCATGATACCATAACCATAATTAAGGTAATAAACATATCTATCCTTTCCAGAAGTTTCCTTGTGTCACTTTGCTATTTTTTTTTTTTTCTGGTAAGAAAACTTAACGTGAACTCTTTTCTCTTAACAAATTTTGAAGTGTACCATACTGTAAAGTTAACTATAAGTGCTCTGTTACACAATAGACCATTTGCTGTAACTCTTGTTTGAACTGTATTTTAAAACAAGAACGTGGTTTTTGTCTTTAGATGAATCAAAATATCTTATAAGCATTCAGCCACTCAACAAGTGTCTGCTGAATTCCACATTACCTTATTTATTTATTTTTTTTAGGTTTATGGTAAGCATAGAATGATCAGTGTTCATTACAAGATCTACTAGTATCTCTATAAAACTAGGAGGTCCCTTTTAAATGCACATTTCAACTTGGTTATTCCTGAGATAAGAATAGTGAGATATAGTTGTATGGTTTTCAGATCACGAACATAATCTTAACAGTGCACATCACAGCCTAATCCTGGAGTCAATTAATAAATTGGTTGAAATAGCAGTTTGATTAAAATCTCAGATGTGCTAATTCGCTTTCCTAGTGCCCTTTAATTAAGACTTTAATAGAGTCTGCAATTACCTGCAAATTTTTTCTTTGTCTTAAATATTTGTGCTTTATCCTTAACTTTCAAAGCTCCTTCAACTCACCAAAGCACAAGAACAACTACTCTTAGAAATTGAGTTAAAACAGAGAGAAATTAACGACCTTTTCCTTCAATCAGATGAACAGGACTCTATGATTTTAAAACGCTTATTGAAATTTAAGTTGCAAATGCATATTTTACTTATTGGTGTGCATTTTTGTTGTTTTTGTTTGTTTTGGTTTTTGGTTTGTTGCTGTTTTTGTTATAAAAAAAATTACTTTTGGTGAATGTGATAGCATTGTGTGGACATTTTTTTTTTTTTTGTGTGTGTGTGGACATTTTTTAAAAAAGATTTTATTTATTTATTTGAGAGAGAGAACACGGAGAGTGAGGGGGAGAAGCAGACTCCCCACTGAGCAGAGAGCCGGATATGATGCAGGGCTCCATCCCAGAACCCTGAGATCATGACCTGAGCCAAAGGCAGACGCTTAACCGACTAAGCCATCTGGGTGCCCCTGTGGGCATTTCTACTTAAACTATTTTGTTTTTGTATTTAGTTTTAATATAGAATACTTAACACTGAAATTTATGGGTTTTTGTGTTGAAATTGTAACTATGGGAAAATATACAATTTTATATCATCTTGTTTTTAACTACCATTTTGTGAGCTTTTACTCTGCATTAGGCATTGTTCAAACTGCTTCACATAAACTAAAACTATTTATTACTCCAATAATTGAATTCAGTAGATATTGTTGTTACCCACATTTTAAAGATAATAGAATTAAGAATAACAGATTTGTGGTAGGTGGTTCACAGTTACAGGCATGTAAATGGCAGGATTATAACTAAAAGGCAGGTCTATGTGACTCCAGAATTTATACTTACCTATGCTAAGCTTATCTTAATTGTTTGAGTTTATTGAATTGTTATTAACTAACTAGCATTTGAGGGCTCATGTTTAAATTTCTGGTGTATGATATGACATATGTTTCTATCAAATTTCCAAATACAAAGACTAATTTACTGATTACTTCTTTTAAATGGGAAATAACAGTGCATTGGTATTGTTTTGTGGTGAATCATGACTTCACTGTGAAGAAGTGATTTATCTCCCAAACCTTTCTTCAAAAATAAACAAATGAGCAAGTAAACAGACCTCAGTCTGAGGCTTTTTTTTTAAATAAGTAGATATTCACATATGAAAATCATTGCAACAAAAAGCCCACTCTGGATTTGACTGCCATCCATAACAACTCCCCTCCCACCCACAAAAATGTTCTTTCAGAGAAGAACTGAGTCTGTTTATAGAAAGTATGTCTAAGACTGATTTGCAAAACAAAAATGCTATAAAAATAGGGGTGCCTGGGTGGCTCAATAGGTTAGCCTCCGACTCTTGGTTTTGGCTCAGGTCATGACCTTAGGGTCTTGAGATTGAGCCCCGCCTTGGACTCCATGCTCAGCACAGAATCTGCTTGGGATTCTTTCCCTCTTCCTATCTCTCCCCCTCTCCCTCCCCCTCTCCCTCCTGCTCTCCCTTCTCCCCCCGCTACCCTCCCTTTCCTCCCACACTCTCTCTCTCAAATAAACAAAATCTTTTTTAAAATGCTGTAAAAATATGCTCTAGGCCACATATTGGAACGTACCAAAGCAATGCAAAAAAAAAGTAGTTCCTAGCTTAGCTTAGAAGTATGCAAACTAATAAAGATGCCAGGTTTGAGGAGTTGCCACTTAAGAAACATTCCAGCATATTCATTGATTCAGAATAGAAAAAGTTTATCTCAAAAAATATATAGACAGTACACTTATAATTGATAATTATAATAGATAATTGATTGAAAAATTGAAGAAATATGCTTGTATGTTTTTAAATCACTAATATAATGTAGGAAATTAGGTTTAAGAAAATATACTAATAGTTCCTGTTACATATACTCTTGAAGTAAGCTCATTGCAACACTGGTACAATCAGAGATTGAAAGGAGTTGAAGAGCAATTACAATCACTTTGTATAGGAAAACATGTTTAAATTCATGTGTTACCATGCTTTTCACAGATATTCATAGTTTTTAAAATTGCAAAATTATATATATATCATATAAAAATTGTAGACCAACTCAAACCCCAACAGCGTTTGCGGGGATGAGGGGTTTGTGGAAGGAATTTTGTTAAATGTTGACAATAAAGAATAAATATTTCCAAATGAATCATGGAACACTACGTCAAAAACTAATGATGTGATGTATGGTGATCAACATAACAATAAAAAATTTTAAAAAATAATGACAAACTGACTAAACCAATAATGTCACATTCCCATAATAGTATCCTAGATCTCTTCAAAATTCACTTCTACAAAAGAAAATTAAACAAGTAATGACATGAAGAAATGCCCTAAAACATTATTAAATGAAAAAGGTGATTACTATAAAAAATAAATAAATAAATATTTCGAAAAAGTACGTAAGAAGAAGTGGCTTGTCTTTCTAGGTATTCAGCTCATACAATAATTTAAGCAATATGGAAATGGGACAAAGATTGAAAAATAAAACAGTGGAAGAAAAATATATATTTCAGAAAAGATCTAGTTTATATGAAAATTAAAAATTTTAATAAAGGAAACATTTACACAATAAAGGAAAGTATAGGCCTTTTAACTTAAATTACTTAGACTATATTTAAATACTCAGGAAAATAAAATGTTAATTCTTATTTTATCTATTAATATTCAAATATAGGTATTTGGGTTAACTACATCTGTTAGAAACAAAATATAGATGAAGCAATTAAGTTTAAAAATTTTTTTGTATTAAATGGTAATATCTGACATTAACCAATGAAATACCTATTATTTAAATATTTTAAGTGCTTTTCTAAAAAAACAATGAGGTTTTTCAGAAAATCTTTGCTATAATGACGAAACTACCTTATAAAGTTATAGTAAAATGCTGGTGCCAGAGCCTCAGAAAATACATATTACCTAATAATTCTCCTAGCCCTGTCTTCTCTTCTCCTGTTTCCTCTTCTACTATTATTTCCCATTTTGATTGTGCAATTCATTGTGGTATATCATTTTATGTCTTTATTATTTCAGGGTCTTTCAACACAAATAACCTGTTCTCTTTTCTTGGAGTACTTTCCATGTAAATAATTCATCACCATATTTATAGTAAATAATAAGAAAGTAGTGCTCAGTTTGGCAGTACATATTCTAAAATTGGAATGATACAGAGATTACCCTGGCCCCTGCGCAAGGATGACATGCAAATTTGTGAAGCATTTAATATTTTTTAGACTTGTCAAATTTTATGTTGTACACCTGAAACTAATGTAACATTGTGTCAACTATCCTTTAATTAAAAAATAATAATAATGAGAAAGTAATGAGATGACATCATATATTTGAAACCATATTTCCATGTTGAGGGGCTATAGACTCAGTGTGATTATAGAAGTAAATACTGACCAAAGAAAGAATTCTTAGAAAATGTTAATTATGGAGGAATTTGTGGATTATCTCCATAGTCTCTAAAAAGAAAATCTATAAATGCCCATCACCCACCATGGCATTTGTTAGAAGGTACTAGCTATTTCACAATAAGCAGGGGGTTTTTTTGTTTTGTTTATTTTATTTTATTTTAATTATTTTATTTTTTAAAGACTTTTATTATTTATTTGACAGAGAGAGGCACAGCGAGAGAGGGAACACAAGCAGGGGGAGTGGGAGAGGGAGAAACAGGCTTCCCGCGGAGCAGGGAAGCCGATGCGGGGCTCGATCCCAGGACCCTGGGATCATGACCTGAGCTGAAGGCAGACGCTTAACAACTGAGCCACCCAGGCGTCCCAATAAGCAGGGTGTTAACTAATATATATTGATATACTTTTATAATTCTCAGCCTACTTCACATAAAAATAGGCATTTCTACATGTTCTATTATAATTAGGATTTCTTGAATCCCCATTAGTAAAATTACTTGTAGTAAAGTTATAAAATGAAGAAATGGGTAATTAGGTAGCACTGAATCCAGTAGTTAAGACTTAATTTCATTGATAGCAATTTTTAAGTAAGAATAGGCAATAAATTCAGACTCTTCTCTTCCTGATAAGTTTTGTGGGCAGGCTATAAATGCTAAACATCAAAAATGGTATTTTACCGGGAATTAGGGGCAGCACAATACTAGTTGACTGAGCCAAGGAAACACGTTTCTTAGGTAAGAACTCTTTTATGTTTTGTAATATCAGATCTGTGCTAAGGAAGAAATAGCCTAAATTCCTGATAATTATGAAAATTAGAATATTTGGTAGGTGGATAGGGAAGATTAAGAGTTACAAAAACTTTAAAGAAGGATGTTCAGAAACTTTGGAAACACTTTAAGAAGACCAATGCTGAGCTACGTGGAAAGAGCACCTGGAATTGGCAGAAACAAAGGAACTCAACCTGGGGAGGAAAAAGGTGATAGGAACAAAAAGATGTTATTATCTTGTCAAGGTGTACTGACTGATCTCTAAGGGGAGAAACTGTATCTTGATTAATGTAATTAGGTGCCCCCCTCCCCTATAATAAGAACATTGAGCACATCACCTTTAGAAAAGTTGAACTGCTGATGTTGTTCATTCTTTTGTAAAATAGAGATATATCTGGAGCCCAATATCACATGCTTAGCTACCAGCTATGGCAGAGGAATCTGGCTTCCACTCGGGCATAATTAAAAGACTGTACTTTAATTATGTTCTGGTGTGAATGCCACGGTTTCCCTATTTAAGAGAGACACAGGGCAAAAGTTTTCATATCTCCCCTAACTTTTCTTTCCTATTGAGTACAAGAGCAATTGAAATTGACATGTTTACCCTGCCTTGATTCAGCCCTCAGCATTCTTCATCTGGACTGTTTTAAGAGCTTTCTAACAAGATTCTTTGCTCATGTGATCTGACCACTACCCTTGCACTGTTTTATCTTTCTGAAGCAGAGATCTGACCATGTTACTCTCATAAATAAAATCATTCATTGCCTTTTACTAGCATACATAAAACCCCTGAGCGAAGTCTTCCACAGTCTGTTCGTTTAGCTCTTTACTGCATTTGTACACTGTTGTTCTCCTCTTCTCCATTTGCCTTGTGTTCCTGAAAACCCAGATTTCTTATCTATTGCCAGGAGTCATGCTATTTCCACCACAATGAGAAAGCAGCTACTCCTTACCCTCACTCTTGTCTTGACTTGTTATTCTCAAATGTCCATCTGGTGAACACCAACTCCTTGTGGTCAAGGACTTCATTTAAATGTCGTCTCCTCTGGGGAACATTTGCTGACCTGTCCTAGCAAACTTTGATGTATCCTTCACTCCAATTTTATTCCAGCAGGTATCAGTTTCCCATAATTCCCATGAAAGTAGCTATATAACCACTTTAAAATGAAATGTACCTAGGGGCACCTGGGTGGCTCAGTTGGTTAAAATGAAATGTACCTACAAGACAGAACAGTTTTTTAATTGTTATATTATATGAATAGACCCTAGCATATGCTAAGTTCATATAAATTTGTTGACTGAGTAAATAAATAATACTCAACATTTATGAAACATTTATATTTTTCACATATTATGAAACTACTTTGGACTTCATAAAGTTTTCTAACTTTAATCCTCTGAGTAAATTTCAGCAACAGAATTTTTTTTTAAACAAAACTAAACATTTCTGCTACCCTGCAATTTAACTTTAGTTATATAATTCTACCTACAATTAAATGACCACAATTGTCTACCTATCAAAATATACTTGAGAACCGGCCCTAAAAAACTTCTTTAGCTCAGTTGAAATTTGTTCACAAACTAAAGTTTCTACCTTTAGAGGTAGAGAATAGTTCTTATGCTCATTTTTTTACTTAGAATTCATCTACTCTAAATGCCTACTGCCATCCATCCATCTGGTGATTACTGAGCTACTGATATTTAAAATTAATTTAGTGAAGGATATCAATGTAAAACTCATAATAATTTATGCTTTCAAGGAATTGATAGTTCAGTTAGTATCTTTCCCATTTCATAATTAAAATGAGCAGAAACTAGAGTGGCTCCCCTTTTCATCTCCCTCTCCTCACCATAGGGCCTGCAATTCTTTAAATGTACCCTTGCATGAAAAGCTATTGAAGACCCATATTGTCATGATTGTTTCAGCTTTCACATACTCCACTTTATAAAAATCCCCTTCTTAAAATTAAGCAGCTATAAACCAATATGCTCTTCTAAATGCAAAGCATTTATGCATTTCTCCATTTGAAAATATATAGTGGTTTTTTTTTTATTATTTGTAAAATGTGCTTCAGATATCCCTATGATTTATGTTATTCTTAACTCTTGCCCCTTCCCTAGAGTGTAACTCAGAATGAATACATTTTGTATTAAGGTATCTGTTGCAAATACCACCTTCTATTTCTTGTAATGTAATTTCAATAGGAATTTTTCCCTCTTTTTCCTTTTTCTCTGTGCCTTTTTTTTATACTAGCTAAAAAATTCTTATGATAATCAAATTTTAACCCACATATTGTGTATCCCTCTATATATTGTCTGATTGGTGCAGAATGAAAAATGGAATTATCTCCTCCTCTGCTAGATTTCATGATGCTTGTATTAATTCATCCTATGATTGCAATAGCCTTTTTTTTTTTTTGGCAACCATAATTTCTTATTGGTCCATACATACACATTGGCAGTAAAATAAGACACACTTTTTAAATGAATAATAATTATTTTTGCAATATAAAGATTTTGATTAATCAAGGAAAGCATGCATTATCTCGAGTGTGCTCTGAGAGGTTAACCAAGTAAGTGCTTCCTTTTTAAAATACATTTGTTCAACTATTGATTTATTCATTAGCCATTTTTGAGACATCTATTCTGTGTGCATTGCAGAAAGACTTTTTTCCTAAGTGGTTAGACAGCTAAATCAGGTAATTGAATAAAAATATTTAATTATCCAAGGGAAAGCTTTTATTTTGTTGTATGTTATCTAGATCACTATAAGCAAATAGAATTTTTAGTATTCTGAATAAAAATAGAGTTGCTTGTGTTTAATATGCTATACTTCACATCAATTATTTCTCAAGACCTTTGCATTATAGAGAACACTAATGAAGAACTTGTTGCCAAGATGGGAGGCAAAAGGATAGGTCAGGGATTGTAGATTATTGGAAAAGAAACCCATTCGTGTTGCTTACATATTAAAGATAACCTTCCCATACAAGGAAGCAAAAAAAAGTTTTTTTTGAGAACACATCCAATCTTCTGTTCAACTATAAAAAATAGAAATTCACAAACAAGACTGCCTGAGTCTAGCTTTCTGGTTCTACTGTCCACCTTTCTCCCATTCTGATATTTATTAATCTGCTCTAATATCTGTTCCATCTCTATTCATACACTGTAAACTTAACCTGGTTCTTCAGCAATCTCAAAAGTATGACCATATATCTGCAAGCAGGAAATATATGTTAAATGAAAAGACTTTGAGATGGGTCTGAGTTCTGTGATTTGTTTAGTTTACAATTGCACATGGCTTGACCTCAAAAAATATACATTTCTTTATTGGTAAAATTGGGGAATAATGCTAACTCATCAAGTTACTACAAAGTTTAAGTAAACTAAGTAAATACTATATAGTGGTTGATGTTTTAATTATCACTATTATTATCATTCTTAGTATCCAGTATAAGAAGTGCATTTATCCCATTGTCCCCTAATCCTTTGACAATGCCTACCTCATCGATGAACTTTCTTTAACATATAATGTGTACATCTATTGGTTTGTGTCTACCCTGCTCCCATACTTCTCAGGCTAGCATCCCTCTTCTCAGATCTACCATTCCTGCCATTTTTATCAACAACTTTTCTTGAGGATTTGCCATATTCTTATATGCCTGTGGCCATCTGGTCACACTTAGTTTAACAATAGGAATCTTATTTGAGTTTAGCAATTCATCCAAAGCTGTTGTAAATTGTTTTGGATCTTTCAGCTTTTTGATTGTTTTAGTTTGGTTATATGAGTCTAGAAGCATACCTTGCCTAATGAGTATAATTAAGAATTTTACAAATTTTGTTAAATAAATGATTGAACATATTTAAAAATATATAATTAGAAGAACTTGTTTCTGTAAATCTTAGGATCAGGCAGTTGGCTGTGCCTTGTTACCTTTTATTCTTTTATATATTATGCAAATTTTTGTAGCCTTCTTTAGGTAAAAGAATTTAATTTTCTTCTTTACCACAGTAATGTGTGAATCTTAAATTACACTCAAATAAGAC